TCTGATGAGGAGCGGCTGAGGGAGTTGGGGTTGTTTAGCCTGGAGAAAAGGAGGCTGAGAGAGACCTGATTGCTTTCTACAATGACCTGACAGGAGGCTGTAGCCACATGGGGGCTGGTCTCTTCTCCCAAGTAACAAGCGATAGGACAAGAGGAAATGGCTTCAAGTTGTGCCAGGGGAGGTTTCGATTGGAGATTAGGAAGAATTTCTTCACTGAAAGGGTTGTCAAGCATTGGAACAGGCTGCCCAGGGAGGTGGTAGAGTCACCATTCCTAGAGGTATTTAAAAGGCGTGCAGATGTCATGCCTAGGGACATGGTTTAGTGGTGGGCTTGGCCTTGCTAGGGTTATGGTTGGACTCAATGATCTTAAACATCCTTTCCAACCTAAACAATTCTATGATTTCTTCCAGTATGTGTTCATGTCCAATACACACACAGTATGTGTTCAAAATGAGATTTTTCTGAGATCTGAGTCTATAATCACATAGTTTGCAAGCAGTGAGAAGGTAACCACGGACTCAGCAGTTTAGCCCTGTCAATTTGTCATCCACACTGCATAGCTCTTAAAACATTCCCTGCCACCTCTCCAGTGTACCAGTAATAATACCAAAACAGCAGTAAAACATTCACTTTTGTGCTACGGGTAGTGCATGAGCATGTAAAACAGCTTCCAGTAGGTACTCTATACTCCCTTGATAATCTCTATTTATTTACCTCTGTGTAGCTAACCTCTTTTTCTTATCACCTGCTCTCCCACACACATCCACATTGTTAAACTGCCCAGTCTTACTGCTGCAAAGCTATCTTTTTCCCCTGATGTTGATGTTCCGTACCTTGAATGTAGTTTTTTAAATTTGAAAAATCTGGCAGTTTAAGAGAAGGTGACTGGAGAGAGAGGAATTAATAGATTTACTACAGGAAAGGTCAGTGAATATAGGAAAACAGATGACAGGACAAGATAAAACAGGCTTCACAGGAAGTTGATCTTTGTTTTACAAGACAAATTTATGCAGAACTTATCAATAAATACATGCATCGGTGAGATCAAAGCCAATATGATTTTCTTAACTTCTCTCTCTAAACAAGTGTGCCTGTATATATATAAAGTGTACTGCTGTAACTCTCATTAAATCTCCCTGTTCTCTGGCCATGAAACACCAGGAGGTGCTACTGCATCAGCTGTTCCATGGCAGCACACTCCACTTCCACAACAGCCCTCTCTCTCTTTGCTTTCAGGAGCTGAGGGATGCCTTTTCATCCGGAGGGAAAGCGTT